AGGAGATCACATCCCAGCCCTCATATAACATCTGTGACCTAAGCAGCTGATCACTGTCGATAAACCAGTGTGAATCGTTTACCCAATCGTTCTCCTGTACAGTAATCCAACCCATCCCAACTTAGCGTCTATTAGTGCAATGACCTGATGATGAAATAATCGACAAATGTGTTTGTGGAAACATTTTTCCGCTCATTTTCTCTTTGGGTTTATAAACCACCCGTTTTCTCTGGTCCATTGGATGTAAGTAAGTAAGTGCCAGCTGTACCCCGTAACGGTGCTTCAGTGCCACGAGACCACCTCCAGTCGCACGCGAGCTGAGTGTTGTGTATTCTGTCAGCATTCTTCACGGCTAGTCTAAACAGACACGTGCACACAACTCCAGCACACACACACACAAAGCGTCTAATTCTCTGCTTCTCTATTGGTTCATCCTTCTCCTTGCGACACCTTAATGCACTCACCCAGTTAGACATAGATCAGATTACAGCAGTTCGTTTATCGGAATGACCTTTTAACTTGCTCGTGCATTTGACCTTTCGTATACAACACTGGCGTTGCGGCTTACGAACCTACGCCATGGAATTACATCCTCCTACAGTTTACTAGTCTGATCCGACCTTGCGTCCTGCAGAAAGTGCATGGGCCCAGTGGAAAACCTCGTTTACCAACTATCTTGACCTACAACCTGCAGCTTTTAACTACACTGAAGGCCAGAAACTGAAGCTTTTCAGACACCCACTCGGGGATGAGGGACAACGTCAATTTGATGCTTTGGATCTTCAGTCACAAGATACCTTAATAAAAGCACTAGTGGTGCTGGACAAGTCATGGGGACAGCGTACAAACCTCTTCATGGCTCGCCTCAAATTCGGCCGACTTATACAGGAACCAGCGGAAACTCTAGACGGTTTCGTTGACCGCCTCATTCGCGGTGTACGACCCTGCGAGTATCCGACCATACCAAAAAATAGAATCGAGGGCGTAATGCTAGTGCAGCAGTTGATTGGTGGAATCACCAACAACCGAATTCGGGAATGTCTACTTTCCGAAGACGCTTCTAAATTGACTTGGGATAAGGCTGTGGAATTAGCTCGCCTCAAAACATGTACGGCCGAAAAGTTGCGATGTTTCGCCACCCACGCAGACATACAAGAGGTTGCTAAGATCCATCACTCGCCAATCGAATTCCAATCCCCACAGAAATGCTTTCGCTGCGGCAGCCTACAACATAAAGCCAATTTTACCAAGCGCCCTGCCTTAGAAATGGATTGCAAAAAGTGCGGTAAGCGTGGACATTTTGCTCGTCGTTGTCGTTCAGTGCGCATTTCTCAGTTGCATTCTACAGATTCCGTTTCTAGTCAGCAGTTACAGTCCTCTGAAAATGTATTTTCCATTGATAACACAGGCACTGTGTCTAACTATCGTTCCAATTGTCCAGAGCCTAAACTACCTATGCCTGACATTCGTACTGTTACAGTTATTGCATGCGATAGAACAACACATGTTGACATGGAACTTGATTCAGCCTCTCCTATCACTATAGTACCGAGTAGTTTTTAGAACATTCACCTACATGACATGCCTATACATCCTTCAGCCTATCGATTTGACAGTTAAACAAAGGCCACAGTAGAAATACGAGGATTTGTGGTGATTGTGTTGCAACTTGGGGCCGTGAAATCATCAGTTGCTGTGTACATCACCCGCGGAAATAACCGTCCCTTACTCGGACGCAACGCTGTGGTTGCACTGGGAGTCACGCCGTCCCTATCTCGTATGGCAATTAACCTATCAGACCCACAGATACAGTACCCGAAATTATTTGAACAAACAATAGGGCGCGCTTCCCCCTCCGTTCTCCGCATATGTCTGAAGCAGGATGCTAAAGCGGTAGCTATTGCTCATCCACGTCCAATTCCTTTGGCCAGAAGAGAGGCTGTTTTGTCAGCATTACGGCAGATGATTGTAGATGATCTCATTGAACCCATTAACTGTTCTGAATGGGTCCACCCTGTGGTTACAGTCCTCAAGAAGGACGGTACAATAAGAATATGCAATGACCTGCAGGCCCTAAATTGACAAATCGTGGTAGACAAGTTCGTGCTTCCAACCACGGATCAAGTAATAGTCAAAGTACACGGCGCCCGATATTTTTCAAAATTGGACCTTAGGAAGGCTTTCTTTCGCATGCCTCTAATTAAGGAGTCAAGACCGCTGACCGCATTTCTCACTATGGACGGACTCTTTCAATACAAAGTCTTGCCAATGAGCTTGAGTTCAGCCCAGCAGCTTGGCAAAAGTTTATGGTTCACATATTTGCTAATTTACCTGGTCAAATAGTATACATGGACGACATCTGTGTATTCGGTAGGACTCCAGAAGAACATGATTCACGATTGCATGCTGTGTTACGTCGACTACACGATCTTAACCTCCGATTAAACCTCGAGAAGTGCAAATTTAATGCTAGTGAGATGGAGTTCCTGGGCCACCTTCTAACAAATGACGGTATGAAGCCGAGTTTTGACAACGCACGTGCCATCACCGAGGCTCCTTGACCACAGAACTCCACAGAAATAAAGCATTTTCTAGTTATGTGTTCTTACAACCTACTTTACCTGCAGAATTTCACGAATATTGCTGAGCCACTGCGTGAACTGACAAAGTAGAAAAGTGTATTTGTTTGGGGTCCACTCCAACAAAAGACATTTGACGAGATCAAACGCCGCATTGCTTCCACACCAGTAATGACGATTGTCGACGAGACGTGCCCAACGATTGTCTCTACTGATGCATCAAACTTTGGGTTGGGTGCTATACTATCCCCAATTCGAAATGTGCATGAAAGAGTTATTGCATACGCTTCTAGAAAGTTGTCGTCGGCGGAGCTTTCTTACTCTGCCGGGGAAAAAAGCCCTTGCCTGTGTTTGGGCCAGTGAGATGTGGAATTTGTCCTTGTTCGGAAGACCCTTCACTCTTCGTACAGACCACGCAGCGCTAACTAGTTTACTTACTCGGGGAACAAATGGCATCAGGCCACTTCGGATACATCGCTGGTATGCACGATTGTTAACATAAGATTTTCAAATTATATTCCGTCCCGGACGCGAAAACCAGGTAGCGGATGGGTTCTCTCGACTGCCCCTCAACGAAACTGAAAATAATGAGGATGATAATGAGAGGTTACTGGTGCCTTTCTTGAGTAATGAACCAATCTCAGCCGTGACTAAGGAAAAACTCCAGAAGGCGACTCAGGAATATGAGACACTCTGCCGTATTCAGGAGTTTCTGCTAAACGGTTGGCCACAAAATAACAAGATCACAGGCGAGTTTCGTCCCTACTATGTGTTGCGTCACGAACTTTCATTAATAGATGGATGTTTGATGCGTGGTGAAAATTTTGTGGCTCCTCGGAGCTTGTTACAAAGGATCATGCTATGTGCTCACGCAAGCCACCCTGGTATCATTCGTACAAAATGCAAGGTTGACGCATGTTTCTGGTGGCCAAAAATGTCACACGAAATAGAAAAACTTGTTCATGACTGGTCTTCATGTTAAAAGGGCAGACAAGAGTTCAAGGCCGGTGTCATCCACTATACAACCCATTGACTATCCTATGCGACCGTGGGCCAAGATAGCTGTTGACATCATGGGTCCATTTAGTTCAGCACCTCAGCATCGAAGGAACTGTTTGGTGGCGACCTGCTTTTACAGTAAGTGACCGGAAGTCCATTTGTGTGGAGAGGTGATTACTGCCAGCGTTATTCGATGGCTGAAATATATGTTTTCCCGCTTCGGATTACCAGAGAAGATAGTGACGGACAACTGGTCGCAGTTTACAATCCACGAGTTTCATTCGTTCCTTCAACTTCACGCTATCCGGAACACACGTACAACGCCGTATAATCCAGCGGCAAACGGCATGGTAGAGCGATTCAATCGATTCTTGAAAGAGAGTATCCAAGCTATTCGCTTATCTGGCACAGGTTGGGAGGATGCAGTGCTACAAGCACTATTTTCTTACTGAACCGCACACCACCGAGCCACAGCCAAAACGCCAGCTGAACTCATGCTTTGGCGTGCCCTTCGGACAAAGTTGAATGCTGCACTTTCTATTCCTGCAACCAATAATTCCGACGAGTTAACTCGTCGCCATCGATATCAGACCACCTACCAGAAGCATATTACTCCGCTCCAGCCCTGAACATTCGTGCGCGTGAAGCTAAAAGCTGCATCAAAAGGACAGCCCACGTTATCAGATCCGATAAGAATAACGAGTGCATGTGGCCCAGGCACTTACCGGCTGGAGGATGGCCGCACAGTCAACGCCCGGAGATTATTCACAAGTATCAGACGAACGGAGCATATGCCACCAACCTTCACTGACGAAACCGCACAAAGCACGCAGCTCTGCAGGACGAGCCGAGAACAAAGACGACCGAATCTATATGGTATGGATGCAGCACACGATTAAGCGGAGAGGTGATGTTGTGTATTCTGTCAGCATTCTTCACGGCTAGTCTAAACAGACACGTGCACACAACTCCAGACACACACACACACACACACACACACAAAGCGTCTAATTCTCTGCTTCTCTATTGGTTCATCCTTCTCCTTGCGACACCTTAATGCACTCACCCAGTTAGACATTGATCAGATTACAGCAGTTCGTTTATCAGAATGATCTTTTAACTTGCTCGTGCATTTGACCTTTCGTATACAACACTGAGTATACCGCGAGGACGCCCACCCATACGCCGATTCGAACCGGTGACTTTATGGTTGCGAACCAGGCGCGCAGACCACTCTTCGGACCACTGGTCAGTAAAAGAGTGGGACGATATTACAATAGCACACAAGAAATAATTCTAAGGGATCTTCTTAGCGCCGAAGTCTAGTCAGTAGAAGTCAGCAGGCTGACCTGGATGCATGCACGGCCCATCGTATGAATCAACGTGGCTGGAGCACTGCATAGGTTTTTGCGTACTATTTTAGCAAATAAAATGATTTATTTGTAACAGGAAGAACAGTAATAGGTTATATAATTGAGGGTAGAAAATAACAAACCATTAACGAAACGCAGTGCTCGGTGTTGCTGGACTAACTAGCCGCAGTTTATCTCCTCGTAATCCTCAATGCTAGGATAAATGAACATGTCTTCATCAAACATGATGGGTGCAAGCTCTTGTACCGCCTTCACAGCTGATATCTCTGAGGCATGTGCTGCATGCAGCACCTTGACAATCAGCGTAGCGGTGTTTAATGGGTCAGGTGACTTTTCAATCTTCATGATGGTTCCGTCGGTAGAAACGCTTTGCACACTGACTATAGCATGTGTTGGCAGCGACGATGGAATTACCATCCCATTCCACCACTGCTGGATCCGCTGTCTCACCAACTCCTGAACGGATTCAGCTGTCCGTGCACTCTCATGCACAATGATCGATAGGGCAATATGCTTGCTGGTCATCTTACAAATAAAAGAAGCGTTAACCAGCTTTGCTTGGTACAATCTTCTCTCGTCGCGATATACTGACCGAATGAAATTTGGGATCTCACCTTCTGTCAGTTGACGCGCATTGCCTGAACGACAGGGTTCATCGTGTACTACTGCTGTGTTATTGTCTCGTGAGTGTAGGTGCATTGTCACTATCCCTTGACGAGAACCGAGGGCCACTAAAGTCCAAATAGTGTACTCGCTTTCAGAAGCAAACAGGAACACTGGACTCAACTGATACTCCTCCATGCTAACAATATTCGCCGGTGTTCTCACCATGACGTCCTGCAACTGTGGATCGTCTGTGTATATGTACTGATTAAATATATTGACTAGGCGCGCCCCCTTCAACTGGAGTGCAACTGCTTTAATAATAAGCGGCTGTGGTTGGCCTTGACGTAAATCTGTCCATTGCAGATTTTCTGCTCTGATTTGCAATATGCATTCAGCCCGCATTCGATCATACCTCCAAGGTTGGTGCCATTGTGTTATATCAAAAATACTCTCGAAACTCGACGATGAGTCTAAACGCTGCGTTGGGATCACTTCACTTTCCCCTGTAACGTCCATCGGTTCAGCAGTAAGACGGAGTCGCAATTCAACCAGTTCAGACCATTCGGGGAAGTATCTGACCACGCAAGAAATGTAACTGGTTTCCCCCATGTGCAACTCCGGCTTAGCAGTCCTCACTGTTCCCAGCTGGAGCTCCTCGTTGGATGGGATGTAGTGAGTGTAATAAACGAACAATGAGTCCTTGTTGGGTAAAACTGTGAGTTGACGACTAGGTTCTATAAGGATGTCCCTGCATTTGGGAGCGCAATCCTGGACGTAGCATTCGTATCGTCCCATATCTTTTACTGTTACCTTGGTTATGAACCAAGCATGTGGCGGTCTTACTGATCTGTGCGAAACTAATATCCTTTCGCCATTGACTTTGCTGCGATAACAGCTGACTGACATTGTGCGATTCCAACGTATTCCGGAATCCCAGCGTTCACCCGGATAAAGAGACGCTACGTATCCAATATTTGCCCGTTGGATTCGAAAGGCCGCTCGGTTCCGCGCAGTGTTAAACACTGGTCGTGGGTATCCACTGTGCGGATGTCTGACCCAAAACTGGACACTCTCTCTTGTTTCCTCTAGTATTTGTTTTTCAATGTTTGCAGCCTGGGATGACTCCACTTGCAGCGCAAGCAGCAAAATTGCTACAACGTCCGCTCTAATTACGCACTCAAATTTATTATGGTTCAACTCGGTAACTCCCAATGGCATGTTTGGAATATTGTAAATCGCAATGCCCTCCAACTTATTTGACATAAGCATGTGGCAAGGTTTTCTGCTAACCTCACTGGTTATCTCGTCCAAGTTGATTGTCCATGCGCTCAGTAACGCCACAGGCTCACCCAAATACAGAACCACGCTCAAATACGATACCTGTTCTGGTAAGCGTTTCACAGAGCCTGAGTTGTGAAAATCTACTGCTCGCCACACGGATTCGCCTCGGTGAATGTATCTGTCAAGCAGATTGTCCATGCCAGCATTGAACAAATGATCAATAAACACGGGAAGTTGGTTTGACAGATTTCTCTCAGTAGGTACAGGAAACCGCATATTGATTATTCGGTGCGTGATGAAAACATCGTTTTCTTCTAACACCTTGGTGTCCAAAATGAGCGTGTCAGTCCGAGGATCGAAATTCGCCATGCGATCTTTGACCATATTCAAGTAAGTAAACGTGAGTTCATCTTTATTCACTACTGCGTTCATAGTATTAAAAGTGAGCAACACAATAGTAGATGTATGTGGGCGTAACAAGCACGTACACTGGTAATTCCACAGCGAATTTCGCACCGGATTTGTGTCCGACCTCCTAAAAACCACATTCACAGAATGTTCTGCTGTCAGTCTCCGCTGCTGCATCAAGCATTTATATGGGCGATCTCCCGCAAAAATCCAAACTGATGCCCATCCACCGGGATCTAGATGAACTGCGTCAAATGCGACAACCCAGTTGATGTCGGCGAACGGAGGTTGTACGTAATTCAGCAATAACTCTCGAACATCGCCAGATGCTGAGTGTTTAGCTTGCAAGGCCTCAGTTAATTCCGGTATGCTACTCTTGATGCTGCGAGCAATAACATATGGCTTGTGGTCTTTCACATAAAAAGCATTACGGTGGATACGAATTAAGCACTCTGTTTGGTCAACAAATGTGTCACGGCGGAGCTTTCCAACTTTAGTTGTGTACTCATAAGAGCACGTAAAGCGGTACTCACCGATCTCTGTATTGGAGACACAAGGTTTAATATTGTATACAGTAATGAACAAACGCGTTGCGCCCTGATCGATCTGCTTCTCTGTGACTTTATTCACCACATCCTGGCAGTCACACTCCGTGTGTTCAGCCACCAGTTTCATGCCATCGTAATGTTCGTATAAGGCAGATAGATTAAACCAACAAGCCACTGTTGGCGATGTGGCAGTGAAGATGACCTTATCGTTCACACCAGTCTCAGGCCATTTGGTGAAATCCGCCGAGTCAACCTCAAGCGGAGATGAGAGGAACAGCAAGTGTGCATCTGATGTGGAGGGTAGTGCAATAATCCAATGGTCTCGGAACAACACTCGATTAGTCTGCCTAACTGTGCAAGTATATTGACCACTGTCCTCTTTCGTCACGCCAGCGAACCGTAGGCGATGCACTTTGGACAGGTACTTGAAGCGATGACTCACATCTAGCTTGTTACCATCGCTTTCTGTTCGACTGCATTGAACTGACTGTTGGCCGTCGATTTTCACCTGGAATTCTACGACACCTGATGAACCCACACCAGTGTAGGGGAAAGCGTTTACCTGCACGATTCGGATGCCAGGTGAATCTGGTGAGACCCAGTCAAAAATCGCAGAATCATTTTTCAGCACAATCCACTGATAAAGCAAGTGGTACAACAGTCGAAATTTCTCCTCGGTAAGCGAGCCGACCGCGAAAACCAATGCACGACACGTATACCTCGGCGTCAGTACGAATTCATGTTGTTGCATATGTGATTCGTATTGATCCACCAGCTGCACGCGTTCCGTAAAGTGTCCCATTGTAGGTAGAACGGAAACAGATCTCACAAGTGGTGCGAACGAAATGTTGAAACTTCTACTTTTTTCCTCGTAATCGAAAGCAATCAGGTAATTCGCTTGCCCGGGCAAAGTGAATGAACGGATATGTAGTCTCAGAGGAGTGTTTGGCCGCAGGTACACCATGGAATTCATAAATGACTCGTAATCAATCGAATGTAATTCTGGCTGCGATATGAGTTCTGTTAAAGTCTCCACTGTGGTTGAGTGACCACTACGAGCAATTTCTGGGCACACTAGCTGTCCGAGTTTACCAGGCCAACCGAAGAAATAACGGCGCGAGCCCTCCGGAGTGAAAACGAAAATAGTCGCCATGCTGTGATTCCAATTGGGTGGTGGTCCCTTCCTCGATTCAAACGACACAGTATAGTCGCGTGAACCGAACTCTGAGTTGTACAATCGGTGTGGGCAGTCACGCGTTTGCTTGATCTCACTGAGCAAAGTGTTTTGTATGCAACAGCTCTGACCTCCCACGCGCAACGCTTCGCATTCGAAATAGACGCTGCCAGACTTTAAATCGTGTATCTTGAAATAGGTCACTTTCGCTGTGAATTGCAATCGCCACTGGATGTAACTCTCATTTCTGTTCATTTCGTTATCAAACCAAATTTGACGATAAGACGCGTTGTTGTTTGGTACTGTGGGGTAGAATGTTGAATATTCGTGGAACGGCATCAGGTTGCATTGTGCCTGCACTGGGATGGGTTGGGTGAGTGTTTGAAGAAGAAGGAACCAGGCGCATTTGGAAATAGTAGCGTAGAATAAACAGTTGGAGATAAAACATGATCTGTATGCGGCACTGGAGCTGCAATGTATACCACCGCTTTTATAATTTTTGTGCGCTTTACTGGGTTCTACCGCCTGTAAGTGGGTATCAAGTTGGCTAGGCGAAGTCATTCAGAAATCACGGTTTCGTGTTGCTTGTTCCTGATCACCTTCAGGATAGGGGCACGTATGCATGGGCCAACGCCGCAGTGTGTGAAGCTAACATATCGATTATGTAAATGACCAGCTACTGAATTGATTGTTTTAATTTGTCGGCAACCTTGGTTCTCTACTTTAACCGAGGCTTTGCGTACGTCCTTGTCTAAAAGTAGTAGAGGTGTGCAACTTGTTAGAGTACATTCTCAGAAAGGAATATAGCCACTGGAACCAATGTGCTTTATGGCATTCTTCCCTGAAGTTTTAGAAATTGGTTTTGCGTCTCTGGTGGTAATCGTTTATTTGAACAGACTTTTCATAAAATTGTGTAGATCCGCTCAGTTCGGAATTTTCCTTCAGTCAACTTGAAATTTATATTTCCCACCTTCCTCACCCGGTCATCTTCTACGGCATTTTATCAGGCGTTGATCAAAAAGCATGGAGCTTTAGATTGCCATTGGTTAAGATACAAAAAAGCCTTCATCCTCCTATTAAAGAATTTAAAACAAAGGTCAGATTTCATTTCAGAAACTTGGTAGACGACCGGTTAATGTAGTTATGGTGATGGACAACGTTTCGCTTTTGACACAAAAGCTTCATTTCACGGTTGACAAATTCGGAGGAAAATAGGATTCCGGTGACATTCCAGCCGCCTGTATTGGGTGGTAAGTTTCATCTTATGACCTCTCACTCCTGTGCTGCATCTATCCTTCCGGAGGTGACGGCAAGCGTGCTCGGGGTTTTTTCAAATCTGGAACGCCAGGATGAGATCACCCCATAGACGGCGATATTTACTGCTGTACGCTCTCAGAGATCTCAGTCCCCTTTATGATTGCAGGTGGGAGAACCTATTTACAATTTCCTTGCTCTTCGCTGTGCGATTTCCAGTGCAGCCAGATTGAGTTTTAAGTAGGGTTGCCAAGACTGGATCCCGTACTCTATATGGGGCCTCATAAGGTCATGAGTCGTCGCTTCGCGCTCATCAGGACTTTTAGTTTCGGGAAGGCCGAGCACAAGGATGGCTACGAACCCATTCCGGTTTTCGTCCAAGTAGTGCTTCGCCTGTCTGGGCTCGCTCCACCGAATACCCGGGAATAGTAGGGTGGAACACGACCCATTCCGGAGGCGAGCTCTCGATAACACAAAACTTTGCTTCATTGGCGAAAGTCAACTCAAGTCGCCGACGTTTTGGTTCACCTAATGCTGTCAGTTTGGGTGAAGGGGAACACGTCTTCGCTTGACGGGCTTAGCTGCAATATTTATAATGTCACATATAGAGTTCCACTGGTTCACGTCATCGAGTTGTTTTCCTTTTAGTGCATTTGTCATCCCTTTTGGAACGTTGGTGCAGATTACCGCTGGTATCCTAGGTGCAACTCAGATTGAGGTCAAAGGACCAGCTGGTGTGTAAAAACTCAATGAAGGATGTGTGGCTACGGCTTCATCTTCTCCATTTACTCTGGGTCCAGTGGGAGTGGCTGAAGGTCTAGGTTTTTAGTCACCTTTGGCAGCAACCAAGTTCCAACCACCAATGGTCTCGAAGTCCCTCTGCATTTTAGGAACCGTTTGAAGGTGAACGAGGCACTGCCCGTGAGCATTCCAGTCGGACTGGCGATGACTATTTCAGGAATATTTGAACAACTTGTAGTATTGACGTTTATAGCCTCGGATGATGCACTTTTAGCGCGCTGCCCAGTCTCCTCGCTCAGTTTTAACGCTGGGCCTGTTGGAAATGACTAGGATTTACCCTCCTTCCCAATTTCTTCTAATGAGTCGCTTTTGGTGCTCCTTGTTTGTTCAAACATTGCCACTAGTCTTTCTTACTTCTGCGATAGCTCATGTAAAATATTTACCAGTGGGATGACTTTACCTACCGAGAAGAACCATCACGAACCTCGTTTACCATTGTGTAGCGTCAGCTGGTTCACTGTGAGCTTTGAACATTTACGACAAAACTTGACAGGGCCATTGATACACTGGATTCCTATTCATACCTTTTCATGACATTAAGTAGGGTCACAAACTACTGTCGATCTGAAAGCGGTAACATAGGTTTTTGATTGGTCGCCACAATGCATGACGTACATCGATGCTATTCCGACCTAGGCTCCAGCGCTTATTGTTTTCTGTCGGTCGCGTGTGCGCTGAATCGCTTGCAGGTTCAAGTTCGTCAAGTTCTGTGCGTCTGACCGCGGCTGGTGTAAGCGGCTAGGTTGTCCTCACGGCAAGCAGAGCTACTGAGCGATACAGACGCATAGTCCTGGAAAGAAATATAACCTCTGGAACCAGTGCGCATTTTTGCATTCTTCTCTGAAGTTTTAGAAATTGGGTTCGCATCGCTTGTTCTAATCCTTTGTCCCAAAGGTCTTTTCATAACACGGTCTACTTTCGCTCTGTTCCGAAATTTTCTTCCGCCACCTTGAAACCTAGGTTGCTCATCATCCTCGCTATGTCACATTCTACGGAAGTATATTACACTTTGATCAAGATACACGGAACTTTATATTGCCATGCGTTTTTATTCGTTAAGATACTGAAAATGTTTTATCCTCCGACTAAAACATTTACGACATAAGTCAGATACCTGCTCATAAGTCGACTATAACCATTTTCTGTACTCCAAGCATTTCAGATTCTTCTACGGATGAAAAGGGTGCATTCGAAAGTCTGGATACTGCCACCGTTGTTGTGTTTTTAATGACGGGACTCGAATCTGAGCCCCCCACGAGATAAAAACCATGCCCTCACCACAAAGCCCATCAGTTGCAGCTGGTAACGCCTTTTCTAACGGTTAGTAGCTGGTTGGATGATTAATTTTGAAGGGTTTTTTTGTCTGAATTATTACGTGTCGCACTTCTGCATTCTCCACCCGCATGGGTTTGAACGAATACGAAACTACTTGTGCAGTGCAACGCTGCAAACGGGTAGCGCCTACCATTCATGTTTTCATTCAGTGCCAAAACGCCATGCAGTCTATTCGGAAAATCAGCAAAATGGTTTTTGTGAACACCGAATATCGTTGAAACCTGTACTCCCTCATGCTACTTCACAGGCAACTTAAGGAAACCCAAGGTAAACGTTCGCACGCACCCACTACTGTGATCTACGTTTGAAAAAGTATCCGGGATTTGCTAGGTTATTCCAGCGTACACCACTGTATAATTAGATCACTTTGCATTTACGAATGACTCTTCATATCCTATAGGAATTAAGTCGGTGAACAACATTCAGGATGAGTATGTATTTACAGGTGTGCACTACAATGTCCATGTCCCAAATATTAGTAAGCCCCACCGTAGCGTAACCAATTAATGACTGTCACTTCAGTAAATGGCGGAAAATTCGGCGCCGTTTGGTTCGTTTGGAAGCAACCTTAATGGAGAACACGCGTCGGTAACAACGCCCAATGATATGCAACGAAAATGGCGTTTATTAGTGATAACCATAGTTCACCTTGAATGCATTTCCTTCTCAGCAAATGCCCTCGTGCTGTTGCGACAATACACTCTGTTCCTTGCATGGGTAGGATTGGTTAGACTCATCTTTGCTTAGAAATCAACAAGTGCTACAGGGTACTTTAGAAAGAGCATAACCCTCACGCATTTTACTTTCGCTACTGTTATCTAAGATACTCCTTACTGCCCCACTCCTCCTGGCTCCATCAAGTGCCCCACAGTGCTACCTCCCACATATCCGTGTGGTATAATTTACTTCCGTAATTTTAACACGACTCCACTTATCTCACCACCCTTTTTCTATCTTAGGATTTCCACAATCTCACTTCTAGAGAACTGCAGCCAAAAAGCGTGCAATGTAACTACAACTATTAACAAAGTGGCGCTAAAATAGAGCCAGGGAACAAACAGATTGGGGATACTTAAAACACAACCTCTATTGGATAAAATGCATTAGCCCAGTCTTTTAATACACATTAACAAGTCCGATCAAATTTTGCCTCTCGAAACTTTATGCTGTAATGGTGTATTCAATAACGTGGTCTTGGTTGATGGATACAGGTCTGTTAAAAGTGGCCGAAAAGATGCGCGGGATGGTGATTGTAGTGTTTACTATTCATCAAACCCGCTTGCATAGGTATTTACGCTCCTTTCCATTCGTCTTACTCTTACATTTACTCGGTTGATTACCTTGCTGGTGACACTTGATGAATTATGGGTTGCACATTCTACTCATCTGCAGCCAGTCAAAGTGGCAAGGTCAAGTCAGTAAATATTTCTAACTGTTAGAGGTCATTGATCTACCAGATTACTTTTGCAATAGAAACTTTAACTTACCACAAAGCATTTACTAGTCTAGCTTAGTGTCAACAAAATACGTCATTTGGCCAACTCATATCCCTAGTTGGTGGATTCAGCATAACATTTGACTACCCAGATCAAAATCTCTCTACAGGGCTTGTGATATTCTATTGCACTGACTATATATATATATATATATATATATATATATATATATATATATATATAGAGAGAGAGAGAGAGAGAGAGAGAGAGAGATGCGAATGGTAGAAAGTTAAAGAGACTGCATTGTAAGAACAATGTGAAGGCGAGGGACAGGTGAGATCTGAATGTCGAGCGCTGAATTACGACGCACGGGATGGATACTGGGTCGGATACGGTGCTGCAAGCCCTCACTTTTAGATGACGTTTAACGAGGAACTTATCACTTCAACCAAATACGAGACCACAGATTCCATAATTCTGAAGCTTATAAAGTAGAATCCGATGATCAGCCTCCAAAATGAGTTTAATAAAGCCAGATAGGAGGTATTTACTCTTACCTTGGCATCGACAATTTCCGTCTGGCACACAGGAACCATCAGTAGTACCTGATCGATTACAGTGAAATCCTCGCTCCTCTGGTCCGATGCGTTGTTGCTTTCCTGTTACCCCATGTATACCACAACAATGGGCTCCATGACTGGCGGATAATACTTCGGTTCTGTACAGATTTCATTCGCAGATTTCGTAGCGATGACCTTGTGCTTCCGCTCTGAGGGAATATTCATCTCATTATGCTAGTGCTAAAAGAATCTGGGTAA